TTTCCACAAGCTTTTACTTATATTTTATTGGTACTATAAGACACTCACATATTAGTGGTAGGATACTTGGGAACAAAACAAAGAGCCTAAGGGCTCAGTCAGGGAAAGTTAATTTTGATATATGGATATATCGAAACGTCGTAAGGGTATTTGTTTACACGTCGTTGAAATAGGGTTGAATGTATTACTGTTTATGCTTATTGGATTTGATGCAGATGTGACTTCGCTTTGAATAAAAAACTTAGGGGGGGGGGGAATGACACGCGTGTGCTGTGTTGTTGTTTTTATGTACCAACAAGAAGTCTCTGAAAAAAACGTTCTTGAATTTCCCTTCAGAGCCACCAGCCACCGTAGTGGAAGCCTTGAAAGACATCACCTTGTTTGAAAGCGAAGATGCCGTATTTCAGTGCAGAGTCTCTCGGGAGAAGGCCAAGGATGTGCAGTGGAGCCTGGGGACTGTGCCGCTCCAGTCCAACGAAATGAACGAAATTGGGGTTCAAGGGAAGCTTCACACTTTAACCCTCCGGAAGGTGACACTGGAAGACACCGGAGTGGTCATTTTCAGAGTGGGTCAACATTCGTCTGAGGCCCGGCTGACTGTGCAGCGTAAGTGAGACAAGATATGCCCACCAGTTAGGGGTCATCTTTATTCTTGTCTTCCGCTATCTTGGCTCTTGTTGAAATCTTTTGAATTCTACCAAGTTCTGAATACATCAGTCAGAAGAAACTATTCATACGAAGCACAACTCAGATGTTTTCCGCATAAACAGGTCTCCCCGCTCCTGCATTTGTATTCCTCCACCTCTTTCACTCGTTTCCGTGGAGTTTTCTGTTGCAGTCTGAGATGCGAAAACAAAGTTTGTCCTCTCTTGCGGCGCAGCATCAGACTTCCCTGTTTCTGGGAATTCCCCTGCTCCACACGAGGGAGCAAACTTTGTTTTTGCTCCTCGGACTGAATATATCTCTGTGGAAATGAAAGAAAGCCATGAATGAATACAAATGCAGAAGAATGGAGATCCGTTTTGTGAGGAAAATGTCCAAGCGGATTGGCCCAGTTTGCACTCATTTTGCGTGCAAAATACGGGTTCTGTTTTGGGGGTGGGGGAGGCATTTTTGCATGGGGTACAGCCAGGGGTCATTTTGTAGAAAAAGAGGTGCAGGAGCTTATTAGCATAACTCATTAGCATAACTTATTTGCATAGGCCACCCCCCCTGACATCACTGGAAGTGTGTCAGAAGGCAGCACCCACCACTCAGGCTCCACTGGACTGTTTTGGATTGCTAAGTATTGGGGGGGGGGACGTGCAGATCTGTCCTCACAGAGGAGGGAGAGCTGGTACACAGGGCAGGGCCTCCAAAGATGACCGTAGTGGTCAAGTAGGTTCCTGCCACGAAATGGAAAAACAGATACTCGTACTCAATGGAAATCCTGTAGACTTCTAATTAGACCTTTGAGGAAGGGAGAGATCCACAATTTTTTGAGTCTATCCTAACACAGGGCTGTCAGACTCATTATACCTGTCACTTTGTCAGGCCGGGCCAGGTGTGCCATAAAATGTAATGCCCGGTACCGGAGATAGAAACTGTATAAAGGACAGCTGCCAGTAAGCTCCAAGTTGGTGTATCTTGCTGTTCTGCCCTTACAAGAGCCATCAAGGTGGCCGACAATGTAAACATCCACCATAAAAATCACATTTTAAAACCGTTGCAATCAACCCCCCCCCCCCGGGCTGCGAGGGGACTGCAGGGGAAAACTCAAATTGGCAGGCTGGAGAGGCAGCAGTGCAGCGCTGGGCAAATTAAAAATAGAGTTAAAATACAGAAAAAACATAAAAACAGCAATTAAAACAGACAAAAATCAGCAATTAAAACAGACATAAAAGCAGCAATTAAAACATTGGCCAGGAAGGAGGGATCAGGGAGGGAAGGCCAAACAAAACAAAGTCTTCACCCTCTGGCTGAAGATGGCCACAGAGGGGGGGACAAAGAAGACTCTCCTTGGGGAGAGAGTCTCAGAGCTTTGATGTCATGACCAAGCAGGTCTTCTCCTGGGTTACCACCTGCCTGACCTCAGAACGTGGGGGGCACCCAAGGCAGGGCCTCCAAAGATGACCATAGTGGTCAAGTAGGTTCCTGCAACGAAATGGGAAAACAGATACTCATACTCAATGGAAATCTACTTCAATTAATCAATCAGTTTATTACGGTCAAAGACCCATCAAACAGCATACAGAATCAAAAACAGTCTCCAGATTGTCGTAAGGCATTACAGAGAAAAAACATCTCAAGCAGTATTAAGGAGGTGCTTATGCTTTATAATGGCAATAAAAAAGAAATTTAGCAACATTCCTTGAAATAACCGTGGATTTGTCCTCCAGTTGCATAAGGGCCTTGGATGCGCCAGTTCCAGCCCCCGGGCTTTACGTCTGACACCCTTGTCCTAACAGAAAAAAAAATGTATCTACAAAATTGAAGGCAGGAATTTTTGATATGGGGGGAGGGTCTCTATTGACTCGGAAGGGCATGAGCAAAATCTCAAATGTCTGGGGATATGTTGAAATCTTCCGGAAAGAACTGCAGATGGAAAAGTGTCAAATCTGGCTCTGGAAAAGGCCCATCTATGATTTGGGTTGGAAATATTAGCTAGGTATAAAGGAGCAGACATTAACGTTTTGGATTTCAGAGATTTGTAAAGAGGCGGAAGTGCGGCATAAGATGTTTGTAGCAGAAATCTACTTCTAATTAGACCTTCGAGGAAGGGAGAGATCCACAATTTTTGAGTATATCCTAACACAGGGTTGTCGGACTCATTTGTTACGAGGGCCGGATCTGACATACATGTCACTTTGTCAGGCCGGGCCAGGTGTGCCATAAAATGTAATGCCCGGTACCGGAGATAGAAACTGTATAAAGGACAGCGGCCGGTAAGCTCCGAGTTGGTGTATCCGCGCTGCAAGGCCCCACTGGGCAGATGCTTGACTGCTGCAGATGAGGTTGTCTTGCCATGCTGAAGCCACAGTTGAGAGGCTCCGCCCACTCCCCCCAGCACTCCCTCCCTTGCATCAGTCGCTCGCGGGTTGCATAAGGGCCTTGGACGTGCCAGTTCCAGCCCCCGGGCCTTACGTCTGACACCCTTGTCCTAACAGGAAAAAAAAATTATCTACAAAATTGAAGGCAGGAATTTTTGTGTCTGCAAAGTCTTACGACTAATGTACTGGTTACTGAATGGCACTTGGATAATGTCAATACAGGCAGAGTTTCTATTTCCCTCTCTACAGCTGCCCCGGTCATCTTCATAAAGCAGCTGGAGAATACTGAAGAAGAAGAGAATGGCACAGTCATCTTCCGCTGTGAGGTTTCCAAGTCCGGCGCCCATGTGGAATGGAAGAAAGGTCTCTCTGTCATCCAGCCTAGCCAGAAGTTTGAAATCAAGGCAGAAGGAAATGCCCACATCTTGACAATACACGACATAGTCCCCGAAGACTCGGGAGAATACAGCTGCAGTACGGCTGATAGGACAACCACGGCCAGGCTCAAGGTTAAAGGTGAGCAAGGGTCATTTCGTAGAAAAAGAGGCGCAGGAGCTCATTAGCATAACTTATTAGCATGTCTTATTTGCATATGCCACACCCCCTGACATCACCGGAGGTGTGTCAGAAGGCAACACCCACCAGCGTTTGTACCTGAAGGTAGGCAGGAGGCCCCCCTCTGCAACTTACCTGGCTGCTTCTTGCTCCTCCTGGCCCAACTGAGGGCTGCTGGGAGCAGGGGGCGGGGCCTGTTGCATGTGCCTTACTGCCGGAGCTTCGCTCCTGTGCGCTCCCGCAGGAAATGACCCCTGAAGGTGAGACCGTGTCCTTGGATTCTCTAGTAATAACATAAAGTGGCACTTGGTACTGTGGTTGTTTATATGAATGATTTTAATTGTATTTATATATGCACTTTTATGTACGCTGCCCTGACCCTGCCTCGGTGGGGAGGGCAGGGTATAAATTGAAGAAATAAATAAGTCTGTCCTCAAAAGTCAAATGTTTTTCCTTGGCACGAACCCCTGCATTAAAAGGGAGACGTCAGAAGCCATTTCAGAGGACAGCCGTGTTGGTCTGCAGGGGAACAGCTAGATTTGGGTCCAGTAGCACCTTAGACAAGGGGCCGCGGTGGCCCAGTGGTTAAGATACTGAACTGCAGACCCGAAGGTCGGTAGTTCGAGACCCGAGTGTGCTGCACGATGGAGTGAGCTCCCATCTCTGGCCCCAGCTCCTGCCAACCCAGCAGTTCGAAAGCAAGAAGTTGCAAGTAGATAAATAGGGACCGCTTCAGTGGGAAGGTAACAGCGTTCTGTGCGTTCCGTGCGCCTCAGTGTCTAGTCATGCCGGCCACGTGACCACGGAAACAGTGCTGGCTCTTTGGCTTGGAAATGGTGATGAGCACTGCACCCTAGAGTCGGATTCGACTGGCTTTTGAGCAAGGCAAACCTTTACTAGCACCTTAGAAGCCAACAAGATTTTCAGAGAGCCAGTTTGGTGTGGTGATTAGGACTGCGGACTCTAATCTGCGTGAACTGGGTTTGATTCCCCACGCCTCCACATGCACCTGTGCTCTCAAGAGCAGTTCTGGAAAGAGCTCTCTCAGCCCCGCCTAACTCACAGGGTGTCTGTTGTGGGGTGAGGAAGGGAAGGAGATTCTAAGCTGCTCTGAGACTCCAAGTGAATCATAGAATCGTAGAATAGAGTTGGAAGGGACCTCATGGGTCATCTAGTCAAACCCCCTGCACAGTGCAGGAGCAAGGGTGGGGTATAAATCCAATCAGGGGTCATTTCGTAGAAACGGTCATCTTCATAAAGCAGCTGGAGAATGCTGAAGAAGAAGAGAATGGCACGGTCATCTTCCGCTGTGAGGTTTCCAAGCCCGGCGCCCGTGTGGATTGGAAGAAAGGTCCCTCTGTCATCCAGCCTAGCCAGAAGTTTGAAATCAAGGCAGAAGGAAATGCCCACACCTTGACAATACACGACATAGTCCCCGAAGACTCGGGAGAATACAGCTGCAGTACGGCTGATAGGACAACCACGGCCAGGCTCAAGGTTAAAGGTGAGCAGGGGTCATTTCGTAGGAAAAGAGGCACAGGAGCTCATTAGCATAACTTATTAGCATGTCTTATTTGCATATGCCACACCCCCTGACATCACCGGAGGTGTGTCAGAAGTCAACACCCACCAGAGTTTGTACCTGTCAGCCCCACCTACTTCACAGGGTGTTTGTTGTGGGGAGGGGAAGGGAAAGGAGATTGTAAACTGCTCTGAGACTCCTTCGGGTAGTGAAGGGCGGGATATAAATCCAATCTCCTCCTCCTCCTCCTCCTCTATTAAGAGCATAAATTAAGACAGAATAGTGTTGATGTGGTTATAGTTGCTTTTGGGTTGTCCTTTTGCAAACAAGCACTTTCTTGTACTCGCGTCTTTGTACAGCCCTCCCCGTGCTCTTCAGACGCCGTCTCCAAAACAAGGAGGTCGAGGCAGGGAGTACGGTGTCGTTGTGCTGTGAGCTGACCAAGCCCATGGCTCCAGTGGTGTGGAAGAAAGGGAGAGTGGTCCTTCAGTCCAGTGACAAGTACGAGATCAGGCAAGAAGAGAACTTTGCGGAGCTTCTGATTTACGACGTGGAAGCCCTGGATGCTGGGGACTATACCTGTGACTCAGGGGACCAACAGACCACTGCCACCTTGCAAGTCAAAGGTAAAAATAATTCACACAAGTTTCTCGCTGTGGCTCTCCTGGAGTGTGCGGTGGGTGGTGGTGGAAGGGGTTGCAGTTTTGATTAACATCAGGTCTCCAGAGAGGTAATAATTGCTTATGGTATTTCAGAGAAAGAGGGTAGAACGTTAGTGAGAGACCCCGTTCTCCTGAACCTGGGATTAACAGTTTTCAACCGCCACTTTTTTATTACTGGAATTCTGAGTAGACCTTCTACCATGCCGAGATTAAAATGAGATAGAGCTGTCAGGGGGGCCAGATAAAATTGCTTCCCTATCCACATGCAGAGCGCGGACTCTAATCTGGGAGGACCGGGTTTGAGTCCCCACTCCTCTACATGCAGCTGCTGGTGTGAACTTGGGTCAGTCACAAGTTCTCTCCGAGCTCTCTCGGAGTCCTTGGAGGGCAGTTCTCAAGAGAGCTCTCTCAGCCCTACCTACCTCACAGGGTGTTTGTTGTAGGGAGGGGAAGGGAAAGGAGATTGTAAACCACTCTGAGATTTACAATCTCAGAGGTTAAAGGGTAGTGAAGAGCTGGGTATAAATCCAATCTCTTCTCCTTCTCCTTCATGTAGGCTATTCAGAAGCAGCAGCTGGAGCAGAATTCTGCAGTTTGACTGCCTGCTAGGGCCAGTTACTGGATAGAGCTGGGTGTCATCAGCATACTGATGGCATCCAATTCCAAAACTATGAATAAATTCTCCTAAGGACTTTGCACAGAGATTGAATAGCTCGGGGGATAAAACCACGTCCTGTGCAATGCCATGGAACAGATGCTACCTTGATGGGGGAGGGGCCGTGGCTCAATGGCAGAGCACCTGCTTGGCAGGCAGAAGGTCCCAGGTTCAATCCCCGGCATCTCCAGTTACAAAGGACTAGGCAGGAGTTGATAAAAGACCTCCGCAGGAGACCTTGGAGAGCTGCTGCCAGTTTGAGTAGACAGTACTGACTTTGATGGACGAACGGTCGGATTCAGTATAAGGCAGATTCATGTGTCTTCATTTGGTCTCCGACGGCAACCCATAGAGCTATGGAAGCCAAAACTGTCATCAAGTAAAGCCACAGCTTTGGTTCAGTAGTGATTCCCTTTCCTTTCCAGTGTGGTGCAGTGGTTAAGTGCGCAGACTCTAATCTGGGAGAACCGGGTTTGATTCCCCACTCCTCCACTTGCAGCTGCTGGATGACCTTGGGCAAGCCATAGTTCTGTCAGAGCTGTTCTCTCAAGGACAGTTCTGGAAAGAGCTCTCTCAGCCTCACCTGCCTCACAGGGTGTCTGTTGTGGGGAGGGGAAGGGAAAGGAGTTTGTAAGCCGCTTTGAGGCTCTGAGTGAAGGGCGGGGTATAAATCCAATCTCCTCCTCCTCTTCTTCTTCCTCTTCTTCCAACCGGTTAGTGTGTCAGAAGCCTCCATTTAATAGATGCCGCCCATATTTGGTGTAGTGGTTAAGTGCGCGGACTCTAATCTGGGAGAACGGGGTTTGATTCCCCACTCCTCCACTTGCACCTAGCTGGATGGCCTTGGGCAAGTCCTAGCTCTGATAAGAGCTGTTCTTGAAAAACAGCAGTTTCTGTCAAGAGCTCTCTGAGCCCCACCTACTTCACGGGGTGTCTGTTGTGGGGAGGGGGAGGGGAAGGAGTTTGTAAGCTGCTCTGAGACACCTTTGGGTAGTGAAGGGTGGGATATAAATCCAATCTCTTCTTCTTCTACTTTTACCTCACAAGGTGTCTGTTGTGGGAGGGGAAGGGAAAAGAGTTTGTAAGCCGCTCTGAGACACCTTTGGGTAGTGAAGGGTGGGATATAAATCCAATCTCTTCTTCTTCTATTCTCTCTCCTCCCCTTAGTTCTGCCAGTTCTCTTTAAAGAAGAGTTGCAGAATGTGGAATCGGAAACAGGTGGACAAGCCATCTTGCACTGTGAGATCTCGCAGTCTGGGGCTCCTGTCGAGTGGAGGAAAGGCGCCCTGGTCCTCCAGCCGAGTGCCAAGTATGAGATGCGCCAGAAAGGCACCAGCATCGAGCTGATCATTCACGATGTCGAGCCCGAGGACTGCGGGCCCTACACTTGCAGCACCGGAGATGAGCTAACTACGGGAGCAGTCTATGTGCAAGGTATGTTCACCGGGTTCCTTTCGGGTGCATTTTATAACGTGTGCCGCTTGTGAAATCACTGGCTCCAGATGAACTCCTGTGCGTCAAGACATATCTGTTGCCGTGAGTCTGTGCAAGATGTCATTCCTACGGTTCACGATGAAATCTCGTAAAATTGTCCTCGAAAAGTTCTGGGGCTGGCTCGCACTCCCGTTCACACCATTTTGCTCTCTCGTTCTTTAATTGCTCGGGTGTTGATATCTCTCGGTCAAGCGTATGAACCTATTTCCTTTTCTAACGTTGTGTTTGAGGTGATATTAGGTGGTCGTTGATCGGTCAGGGCTCATTCCCAAATGCAGGTTACCTCACCGAGTGAAGAACTAATCAACATGAACTAGCACGTGCTGGTCTGTGAAAGCAGCAGATGCTGCCATCAGAATGTTTTTAATACGCACACAAGCCAAATATCAACCAGGATCCTAAACTGGCACATGAAAAAAACCGTTCCAGTTTGTGATTGGGCAGGACTCTGTTCTTCTTTAACGAAAGACCACTAGGCTTTTCCTTTTAACGAATTGCAGAAACATAGAGGAATTTCAGACAGAGGATATAATCCGGAAGAGGAACGGTTCCCAAGCGGTTTCTGGTCTGTCATTTCAGACAGAACCGTTTTAGAACCGGTTCCCTACTGGAATATATTTGTAATTTCACACACAAACGCTTCTGTCCCGTTTAGGGAACGCGGCTGAAGCGTTTTACCTCTCAACTGCTTCCAAGTAGTCTTCAGTTTCCTCTCCCAGTTCCGTTATAGCAACCCCATTGGAATGCCTGGAGTGTTGTGTTATAGCGCTATAGCGCTCTAAAGCGAACGTTTAAAAAAAAGCCAGAGATCACCCGCGCGGGCGAAAAATGGCGGGGAAAAGCGGTGCAGTCTGAAATGGCAAACCGCTTCAGATCCAGCTCTTTACCAGAAGGGGAAAGCCATATGTGAAATGGCAGCCCTATACCGGTTTACTCCACGACAGATCAAAACCGGCTTTAAAAGGGTAATGTGAAATTCATAGAGTTTGGAAGGATTATCAAGCACTAGTTTTCTAATCCCAATAGAGTAGAGGTCCCCAGCCTTTTGAGCTTGTGGGCACCTTTGGCATTCTGACACCGGGCGGGGGCGCAACCACAAAATGGCTGCTGCAGGAGGTGGAGCCAAGCAACCACAAAATGGCTGCTGCAGGAGGTGGAGCCAAGCAACCGCAAAATGGCTGTCGCACAAAAATGGCGGCTGCAATGCCACATGCATACGCGCAGAGGACGTCCAAGTGCAAGGGGGGGAAGGAGCGATTTAAAAAAACCACACTGACACTGAGGAAGAGGAACGAGAGGGAGAATAAGGCCAACACTGTGGCACCAACTGCTGCAGAAGCGACGTTATTTTGATCTGCACAGCTAATCAGATCTCCAGCCAGATGACATGCTAGCAAGACTCTCACCCAACTGCACCTAATTTCTGGAAACACGTGGCTGCCAGGTAAGGTGTCGGTGGGCCCTGAGGCACCACGTTGGGGACCCCTGCTATAGAGTGACAAATGGTTTACTGTATCTGAATCACATCCACCACATGCAACCTCTTAAAGTTTGGTGTAGGGATTAAGTGGTTAAGTGCGTGGACTCTGATCTGGGAGAACTGGGTTTGATTCCCCACTCCTCCACTCACAGCTGACAGATGACCTCAGGCATGCCATAGTTCTGTGACTGTCAGAGTTGTCCTTGAAACAGCAGTTTCTGTCAGAGCTCTCTCAGCCCCACCTACCTCACAGGGTGTCTGTGGTGGGGAGGGGAAGGGGAAGGAGCTTGTCAGCCGCTCTGAGACGCCTTTGGGTAGTGAAGGGCGGGATATGAATCCAATCTCTTCTCTTCTTCCTAAAAAGAAAACGAACTCACAAACTGTCTTCAACGAGATTGCTTATAAATGTTCTGTGCTGGTGAGAAAAGAAGCTCGAATCGCTTGTTTATGTGAAGCCACAGCATTTCAAAAAATCACACCTCAGTCGGAGTCCTTATGTTCAGGGCATTCGTACATAGCCGAATGTATCACAAGATAACTTGAAAGTATCAAGGGACAGCTTAGTTGTATGGAAGGTTTCTTACACAACTGCTCCAGATCACGTTTCGTTGTAAAATCAGTCTGTGCTGTGTGAATGGACAGAGAGCTGAGGGGCCCGCAGAACCGTTCTTGCTGAAAAGATCTCTATTAACAGATGCTCAGAATGAAACTGCACAATGGTAACGCAGGCAGTAAAAAGAGGTGTGATGTGGCTAAAGAAAGGATGGACAGAATGCACCACAAGGAAAAAAAAAACTTGTGTAGTCTGCAGAGCCATTTGTGCAGCAATCTAGGCAGAGCAAAAAAGGCATAACAACAGGTTGTCTTTGTCAGGGATTATAAATGCATTCCTCAATGACAAGGTTATTGTCAGGAATAAAGCATAAAGGCCAGGGTCTGGAATGTCATATTGTGGGGCTATGCTGAGTAGCCCAGCTTCCAATCAGAATACCAGGGAACTGGTGTGTGCTCATCAGTTAAAACTTGATTACAGTGTCTCCTTTAACTCTGTGGAGCGTTTGCACTAAAACCAGAGATGAACTAAATATGCCCATCACGTCAAGGTAAAGTAATGTCAAGACAATTAATATGGCAGAACACCAGGAGTTACTGGGAAAAGGTTCCCACATATAGTGAAGGAGCCATCAGAGATGGCATTACTTCTAGAAGATCTTAGACAAAGAAATGCTGAGACCAGAAAGAAAAGCAAGTCCGGGCATCCCGTGAAGAGTAAAAGACACAGCAAAACAACAGTCTTATATGTAAAAATGCTAGGAAATGCAGCAGTGAAAGCTAAACAGAGCTGACAATCTTAGTAAAACAAGGGCGGGGAAACTGAGCAAAACGCAACATATTATGAGTATGTGTTTACATGGTGCAGTCCCCAAAACTTGAATTTGCGTGTTTACATGGATTCTTGATCTTTTGAATGCTCTCATGCATTTCTAAATTGTGGCTTGTGAGCAGTGTTCCCTCTAAGCTGAGTTAGTGTGAGCTAGCTCACAGTTTTTTAGCCTCCGGTTCACACATTTTTGTCTCAGCTCAGGCTCCAAAGCAAATTAACTTATGCAGCAGCCAAATCACTCGCTCACCACTTTAATGCCAGGAGCTCACAAAGTAGAATTTTCGCTCACAAGGCTCCACATCTTAGAGGGATCATTGCTTGTGACCAGTGTTCCCTCTAAGCTGAGTTAGTGTGAGCTAGCTCACCATTTTTTAGCCTCCGGTTCACACATTTCTGTCTTAGCTCAGGAAGGAGGGCTCCAGAGCAAACTGATTTATGCAGTGGCCAAATCTCTCATTCACCACTTTAATGCCTGGAGCTCACAAAGTAGAATTTTTTGCTCACGAGACTCCACAGCTTAGAGGAAGCATTGCTTGTGACAACTCGGCTTTGAATCGGAAGATTTTTTTTGAGACATGGGTGGAGTTGCCAACCTCAAGGCGGGGAGTGGGGTGGAGTTTTCCCAGAGCTATAAGTGAACTCCAGACTACAGAGATCGGTTCCCCTCGAAGAAATGGCCGCTTCGGAGGGTGGAATGGATGGCATCGCAACCCCACTGAGCTCCCACCCCCAACTCTGCCCACCTCCGGGCATTGGCCCCCCCCAATCTCAATGGATTTCCCACAATGGAGGCTGCTGCAGGAGGTGGAGCCAACCACCCACAAAATGGCTGTCGCACAAAATGGCGGCTGCAGTGCCACATGCATAAGCGCAGAGGAAGTCCAAGTGCAAGGGGGGAAAGGAGCTATTTAAAAAACACACCGAGGAAGAGGAATGAGAGGGAGAATAAGGCCAACACTGTGGCACCAACTGGTGCAGAAGCAACGTTATTTTGATCTGCACAGCTAATCAGATCTCCAGCCAGATGTCATGCTAGCAAGACTCTCACCCGACTGCACCTAATTTCGGGAAACACTTGGCTGCCAGGTAAGGTGTCGGTGGGCACTGAAGCACCACGTTGGGGACCCCTGCTATAGAGTGACAAATGGTTTACTGTGTCTGAATCACATCTACCACATGCAACCTCTTAAAGTTTGGTGTAGTGATTAAGTGGTTAAGTGCGCAGACTCTAATCTGGGAGAACCGGGTTTGATTCCACACTCCTCCACTCGCAGCTGCCGGATGACCTTGGGCATGCCACAGTTCTGTTAAGAGCTGTCCTTGAAAAAGAGCTGTTTCTCTTGGAGCTCTCTCAGCCCCACCTACCTCACAGGGTGTCTGTTGTGGGGAGGGGAAGGGGAAGAAGATTGTAAACTGCTTTGAGACACCTTTGGGTAGTGAAGGGTGGAGTAGAAATCCAATCTCCTCTTCTTCTTCTCCTCAGCCCCACCTACCTCACAGGGTGTCTGTTGTGGGGAGGGGAAAGGAAAGGAGTTTGTAAGCCACTCTGAGACTACCTTCCATACACTACCTTTGGGTAGTGAAGGGCGGGGTAGAAATCCAATCTTCTTCTTCTTCTTCAAGGGCAGTTTCTGTCAGAGCTCTCTCAGCCCTGCCTACCTCACAGGGTGTCTGTTGTGGGGAGGGGCAGGAAAAGGAGTCTGTAAGCCGCTCTGAGACTCCTTCGGGTAGTGAAGGGCGGGATATGAATCCAATCTCTTCTCTCTCTTCTTCCTAAAAAGAAAACGAACTCACAAACTGTCTTCAATGAGATTGTTTGGAAATGTTCAGTGTTGGTGAGAAAAGAAGCTCGAATAGCTTGTTTATGTGAAGGCACAGCATTAAAAAAAATTACGCATCAGTCGGAGTCCTTATTGTCAGGGCATTCGTACATAGCCGAATGTATCACAAGATAACTTGCAAGTATTAAGGGACAGCATATTGTATGGAAGGTTTCTTACACAACTGCTCCAGATCAAGTTTCCTTGTAAAATCAATGGGTGCTGTGTGAATGGACAGAGAGCTGAGGGGCCTGCAGAACCGTTCTTGCTGGAAAGATCTCTGTTAACAGATGCTCAGAATGAATCCGAGCTGAGACACGAACGAGTAGCTCCAAACTGAGCAAAAAGCAACATATTGAGTATATGTTTACATGGTGCAGTCCTCAAAACTTGAATTTGCGTGTTTACATGGATTCTTGATCTTTTGAATGCTCTCATGCATTTCTAAACTGTGGCTTGTGAGCAGTGTTCCTCTAAGCTGAGTTAGTGTGAGCTAGCTCACAGTTATTTAGCCTCCGGTTCACACATTTTTTTCTCAGCTTAGGAAGGATGGCTCCAGAGCAAATTAATTTATGCAACAGCCAAATCGCTCACTCACCACTTTAATTCCAGGAGCTCACAAAGTAGAATTTTCGCTCGCAGGACTCCACATCTTAGAGGGAGCATTGCTTGTGACCAGTGTTCCCTCTAAGCTGAGTTAGTGTGAGCCAGCTCACCGTTTTTTAGCCTCCAGCTCACACATTTCTGTCTTAGCTCAAGAAGGAGGGCTCTAGAGCAAACTGATTTATGCAATAGCTAAATCTCTCATTCACAACTTTAATGCCTGGAGCTCACAAAGTAGAATTTTTGCTCACGAGACTCCACAGCTTAGAGGAAGCATTGCTTGTGACATCTCAGCTTTGAATCAGAAGATTTTTTTTTTGAGACATGGGTGGAGTGTCCAACCTCAAGGCGGGGAGTGGGGTGGTGTTTTCCCAGAGCTGTAAGTGATCTCCCGACTACAGAGATTGGTTCCCCTCGAAGAAATGGAGGGTGGAATGGGTGGCATCGCAACCCCATTGAGCTCCCTCCCCCTACTCTGCCCACCTCCGGGCATTGTCCCCAATCTCAATGGATTTCCCACAATGGAATTGGTAGCCCTAGATGTGAGATTGCAATATTCCCCAGACTGCTTCGCTGTTCCGACTTCGGCAGGAGGTGTCAGCCTGTAGCAATTTCACCATGAAAAGGTAAAAGGTAAAGGTTCCCTTGCTCGAAAGCCAGTCGAATCCGACTCTAGGGTTGCGGTGCTCATCTCCGTTTCAAAGCCGAAGAGCCAGCGCTGTCCAAAGACATTTCCGTGGTCATGTGGCCGGCATGCCTAAACACCAAGGCGCATGGAACGCTGTTACCTTCCCACCAAAGTGGTACCTATTTATCTACTTGCAATTTCTTGCTTTCGAACTGCTAGGCTGGCAGGAGCTGGAACTAGAGACGGGAGCTCACTCCGTCATGCGGCACCCGGGTCTCGAACTGCTGAACTACCGACCTTCCACAGCCTGCAGTTCAGCGTCTTAACCACTTGAGCCACCGCAGCTCCTTCACCATGAAAAACTGGTTGTCAAATCTGGCTTTTGAGTACGCTTCTATTTTAGCGCGAAAGGCCTGAATGCTAGGTTTGTGGATTCCCCGTATACCAATGGAGTCCGCGGCGTAAGCGGTGACCACTGAGTTTTGTCAAAGTCTGTGGGAACAAATGCTTGCACGTTTTCTTCTCCCTCGGTACACATTGTCTTGTTCTGTTACGCAGAAGAGGAAGTGCAGATAGTTTCTGGCTTAACGAACACAGACGTCTTTGCGGGCGAATCGGCCACTTTCAGCTGTGTGCTCTCGCGCTCCGGCGTGAAGAACGTGCAGTGGTGGCTGGACGGATCTCCCCTTCAGAGCAGCCCCGTGAACGAGATCTCTGTGCAAGATGGGAAAACTCACACTTTGACCCTAAAGGACCTGGGCCCGAACGATTCGGGAACTGTGACCTTCCGGGCGGGCCCTCTCCTATCCTCCGCTAAATTGTTAATCAAAGGTATTTTGGCTCTTACTGAAATGCTGACAAGTCCACCCACAAACCACGCCACATTTGCTTCTGACATCGGGCAGCCCTTAACCCAGTTCTGCAAAAAATGGCTACTGTAAGGCATGCATTAACCAGCAAACTATACCAGTAAGCACAAACCCGTATCTTATTTATTTTATCGTCTCACATTTACAATATTTCTATGCCGCCTCTTTGGAGTCCTGCTTGAGGCAGCTTACAACTTGAAAAAACTTTTCTCTCTTCTCTTGTCCTCCTGCAAGAATAAGCCTTGGTAGCTTCAAGATGGTGGAAAGTGCCGTCAAGTCACAGCTGACGTACGGTGTCCCTGTAGGGTTTTCAAGGCCAGAGACATTCAGAGAAGTGGCTTGCTATTGCCTGCCTCTGCATCCTGGCCCTGGTATTCCTTAGAGGTCTCCCATCCAAGTATTAGCCAAGGGCAACCCTGATTAGCTTCCAAGATCTGACAAAACCGGGCTAGCTCCCTACCCATCTAGATCTAGGGACAGTTTGCAGTTTCAAGGGTCATTTCATGTGCCCAGACAGGAGGTATAGTTTTCTGTAAAGTAAGAGACAACTGTTGGTTCCTTGTAAGAACCTTCAAGGTGCTTTTAAACCCCAGGTTGTTCACTGGATTCTCTGATCGAGCTAGGCAAGATGATCCAATATAGGCCGAGTTCAGACTGGCAGTTTGGCCCGGCAGCCAAACGTTTCAGGAGCGTTTCAGTAGCGGATTAAAGGGGCGGGTTCACACAGGCACGAGGAGTGACTGTGCCGGGGCAAACTGCCCGTGTGATCACAGCCTAAAACTCACGCATTCAGCTCCCTCTCAGAATAGCTCCCAGCTCCAGCTCCAGGTTGGGAAGTTCTTGGAGATTTGGGGGAGTGGGGGTGGAGCTAGGGTTGCCAGCCTCCAGGTGGGTGGAAAGGGAGCAAAACAACCGTGATATATTATGCCGAAAAATTCTTCACAGACTTGTGAGTTCTTTTCCAATGTCCAATTTACTTGGAGCAATTCAAATGCATCAACACCACAACGGACCATGCATATCGCGTCTCGTTTCGTGTACAAACTTTATCAGAGTGGGTAGCGTTGAAATTCCTATGTAATTTTAATCCATTTGGCAAACACTATAGCAGTGGTGGCAAACCTATGGCACGGGTGCCAGAGGTGGCACTCAGAGCCCTCTCTGTGGGCACGCGTGCCATCGCCCCAGCCAGGCCCAGACCATCATTAAAGTGTCGAATTCTCTGCCAAATAATTTTAAGTAAATGAAAGCATTTGGGATTGCTTTCCTTACTTTGTTTGGATCATCTTAAGTTAATGTATGAGTTGTTTTTTTCTAAAGTAAAACCACAGTATTCAGGTTAAATTGCTGTGTTGGCACTTTGCGATAAATAAGTGGTTTTTGGGTCACAGTTTGGGCACTCGGTCTCTAAAAGGTTCGCCATCACTGCTCTAGCACTTCAAATTGCGAGTCTGAACTCAGCCATAATAGAGGAATTTGCATAGATGGTAGAAAGGCAGATAGCCAGACTATTAAACTAAATATTTTCTTGCAATCTTGTGCTTAGTTTTATTAGTAAGGTCTGAAATGATCCAAGAGATCCAGGTTTCCTTACAAGGAGATTTTTAATAAAGCAAAAAGTTGTCCTTTTATTTGTTCATTTTGCTTTTCCACCCCATCTGTGGAAACTCCATGACACCTGTTCGATATCCTTGCTTTTTGGAAGTCCAGGTCTCAAGTCAAGTCATATGTATTGGGATATTTGGTTAAGATAGCAGAGTTTGCCCAGTCATAGAGGCGTGATATTGCATGCGGTAAAATAAATCTCCCAAGAAGTATATTGCAAAAGTAAAACTTACATTTATTCTAGTAGATTCCGTTCACATTGAGGCTACAGCCGAAAGGAGAGAGAGAAGCCTAATCTAAATAAGACTTTCCCTATCACAAACGGACATCTACATCTGGCATCGTATGTGTGGGAGGATGAGGGCGTTGTCCCTACAGGAGAGACAGTGTGACTCCATGAAGAGCCATGAGGAGAATGGGGGAGAACAAAGAACACAGAGAGAGGAAAGGTCAGAGGGCAGCCGAGAGGCATCTCATTCAAAAAGATAGTTACACACACTTAGACCGATGTAGCGCCCCCTCCCCCTCCAAGGTCCAGAAATGCGGAGTGGCTCACTCCAACAATATGTACATCCAAAAGCAGGTGATCTGTATTGCTTTCAGTGAGATGCATGTTCAGATGTTCATCTGGATGCCTACCAAAATGCGGATCCTTTCTTTTTCTTTCCACTTCTCTGTTCATCTGCTCAAATACTTGTGCATCTAGTCCTCGATAACATTTCCCCTATCAGAATCAGACAAAAGTTGGATTCGGAATAAGCGAAACTGCATAAGTGAGACTACAGTATCTACTTTTGGAAATTAAATGTTCCAGATTTCCATGACATTCCTAATATTAAGTGTTTCCCTCTTTGTAAAGCTTTAAGGGCAGGGGTCATTTCCTGCAGGAGCGGAGCTCCGGCAGTAAAGAGCCCAGGGGGTGGGCACATGCAACAAGCCCCACCCTCTGCTCCCAGCAGCCCTCAGTCAGAGCAAGAAGCAGCCAGATAAGCTGCAGAGTCCCCCCACCCCGCTGGCCCCCCGGTCCAAAACAGTCCAGTGGCACCTTTAAGACCAAGTTTTATTCAGGTACAAGCTCTCCCTCCTCTGTGAGGACAGATCTGCCCGTTCCCCCCCCCCAATAGCTAGCCATCCAAAACAGTCCAGTGGAGCCTGAGCAGTGGGTGTTACCTTCTGACCCACTTCCCGTGATGTCAGGGGGTGTGGCATATGCAAATTCGTTATGCTAATAGGTTATGCTAATGAGCTCCTACACCTCTTTTTCTACGAAATGACCCCTGTTTAAGGGGCTACAATTCAAACTCAACACATAGCTTTTGTCATAAATGATCAGTAGTGTTGTTGGTAGAGTCCACCAACATTACATTAGTGGGACGCCTGGTGGAATAAGTCGGTCTTTCCTGCCTTGCGGATGCATCGTGCCATGATGAGGCCCCTCCCCCTCCCCAAACCCCACTCTCTCCAAGCTCCACCCCCAAAATCTCCAGGTATTCCCCAGCCCAGAGCTGCCAACCCCAAGCACATGGATAAGTCACAAGGCTTCCAAGAGCTGGCTCGTACTTCTCATTTCCAGTTTCCCGCAATCATTTATTCATAGGAGTCAGGAAGAATGCGAGAGAATAGTTCTGCTAGGCTGTTTCCAGGGAATAATGGACATGAAAGAAATAGGGTAGTATCTTGATGCTAACGTTGAGAGTATGGTAGCTTTCAAGCCTCCCTGAGCCCTGCCTGACGGGGAAAAACGCGGGACAAAAGTCAAATAAATAAATAAATATAAATAAACAGTGGTTTAAATCTACAACAGCTAGTGAGCACTGGCCGTGAAAGCCTTCGACAACACATTTAAATACCTGCTTGTAACATTTTTACCCTTCAAGTCTCGCAGTGCACTTAGTTAGGCTGAGAGAGAGAGAAGTAGCAGGGAGAACGCACTGAAGGACAATGCCGATAGAATTCCTAGAAATCCCGCTTTGGTGCTTCCACTCCCGTAACACACGCGATCCTGTCCACAGTGCACATTGGGGCTGAGGAGCTTAGCATGATGCTGATCTGCAGGTTGGGTGTGTGTGTGTTGAACCTGGTTCCGAACTCTGGAAATGCACCGATGCAAAAGCGGTTCTAACGTATCAGCTGCACAACACACGCCAACTACCTTTAATAGCTTACCCGTCTGCTTCTTTAATGCTAATTCCTGACTCAAGCAGCTGCTAAACCGAGCACATTAGGTAGCGCTTCCGATCCCTTTCCATGCGACTCACTCGCTTCGCGGCCCACGCTCTGTGTTTGTAACAAAGTGCCCGTAATCATTCCCGAAGGATCCGCTAACGCATGTCCCTCCTGACGTGTCGGTTGACAGATCCAACCATTGAGGTGGTCAGTCCCATGCAGGATATTACCGTCGACGAAGATGACAAAGCGGAATTCGTCTGCCAGTACTCTCGGCCTGTGCAGGCCACGTGGAAGAAAAATGACCAGGAGGTTCACGCCGACGGCCAGCGCATCGTCACTGAGCAAGACTGGAATGTGGCCAAGCTGAAATTTAAGCCTGCTCTACCAGGGGACACCGGCATCTATGCATGCGAGGCCGGCGGCACTAAAGTGGTGGCTATGCTTGATGTTCAAGGTGAGGTCCCCCACGGTGGAAAGAAGACTGTCGCGCGAATACAGAGAGCGTGCATGTGAATACAGAGAGCATGAACAGCACCGACTGACCTATGGCCTTCAGCTGTTTGCCCTCTCATGCTAAGTGGAGCCAGAACTGAGGGGTGTGATGACTGTTTCAGGTCAACCTGTGTCTGTGAGATTTGCTCTTTGAAAAGGGGTCCGGGTTGAGCAATTATTTTATGTGGGCTATGGGAATGGTAGCTCAGGGTGGCAGGCTCTCTCACCTGTTGTAGGAGTGCTGTGAGACAAAATCTTGAGGTGATAACCCCCCCCCTGGTTATATTTAGCCCAGTGATCCATCTTTTTTCCCCTTAGCCAGGTGGGACAATTCAGAGTGCTCTAGGCAGGCGGTACACCTACTGGACTCACCCCAGCTATAGCCCTATGTCACAGACATCCCTTTTGGGGAGGCTAGTCAGGCCAGGATCTAGGAAACCATCGAGCTATCCAGTTTCCATAGAGACATTGAGCTATCCCGTTACTATCGAGCTATTCAGTTTAAGAGCCAGTTTGGTGTAGTGGTACCTCCCTTTTTCTAAGCTGGATCCAATGGCTTCCTTTGGTCTGATGGAGAAAAATGTTTGCTGTCAATGAAGATTTAGCAGAAATAAGTGATTGGGTCCAAATACTGACCTACCTTTCAGGGTTGTTGTAAGGATTACTGAAACAATGTATGTGAGGCACTTTGAATACTCAAAAGTGCTGTGTAAATATGAAGTATGGTTGTTGTTCTTGTCGCCATCGTCTTTGGTGTTATGAGTCTACACTTGAGATAAGGCCTGTACCTTTTTGTTTAACGGCTCTTTGTGATTGTTGGTTGCTATTAACTGGTGATGTCATCATATGATTTTTTAAAATATATATATAATTGTTTAGCTATGTTAATTTTAACCATTGCTTGTTCACTGCCTTAAGATGGTACACCACTTTTTAAAAATAAAAGAAATAAAAATAAAGCATTCATAATGACAAGGCGGTATTTTATATGTTACTGCAAGTATTAACAAGTATTTAAAATGATACCACACACCCACCACTCAGTGGTCATTATCCCACATTGTGTTCTGTACAGACACATCATTATTTTGGTCAGAGAAGGTGTGAAATTTCTTCAGATGTTTGCTGTCGGACGACAAAAAAGTATATTCACCACTTGTTATAAGAGCATAAGAAGAGCCCTGCCACATCAGACCGGTGGTCCATCTAGTCCAGCTTCCTGTCTCACACAGTGGCCAACCAGTTCCTCTGGAGGGCCAACGACAGGGCAGAGAGGCCTTCCCCTGAGAAGAACCTCAGAAGAGCCCTACTGGATCAGACCAGGGAGGATCCATCTGGCCCATCATCCCATCTCACACAGTGGCCAACCAGTTCCTCTAGAGGGCCAGCAACAGGGCAGAGAGGCCGAAGCCTTCCCCTGAGAAGAACCTCAGAAGAGCCCTACTGGATCAGACCAGGGAGGGTCCATCTAGACCGGCATCCTGTCTCACACAGGGGCCCACCAGTTCCTCTGGAGGGCCAGCAACAGGGCAGAGAGGCCGAAGCCTTCCCCTGAGAAGAACCTCAGAAGAGCCCTACTGGATCAGACCAGGGAGGGTCCATCTAGACCGGCATCCTGTCTCACACAGGGGCCCACCAGTTCCTCTGGAGGTCCAACAAACAGGGCATAAAGGCCAAGGCCTTCCCCCGATGTTGCCTCCTGGCACTGGGATGCATAGTCATGATCTTGTGCTGAAGTGAATCTCCCAGCCTCTTTTTCGGCTCGTGGCAAAGGATTCAGCTGCTTGTGCTGTGCAAATCTGGCAACTTCGGTTCACTGTGAACAATGGAAGACCGGCTTGTTGTGAGCCTAGGCAATTAGCTGCAGATTCTTCCTCCTCTATATCCGTGTTACAGGGTTGCTATAACTCAGGCAAATGGTTACCTTGCTGCAGTCATAGAAAAGTACCATCATTTAGGGGTATATGCAATTGTTTGGTCACGTCACAAGGACTCTTAAAGAAAGATAGGGATTGGATCCATAGATTCCTTTCCATCGACAGTGGAGACTTCTTTCCATGCAGGGAGTGGAAAGCTCTTTGTGTTAGAGGGAAGTTCTGCTGTTACTGGAGTAGAAACTTTGGATCCGACCTTATATCGCTGTCATCGCAAAACCAGTCGACAGCCGTTTTAAAGATCTCTTTCCAACCCATGTAATGTCATGCATTTCCAAGGTAACGCTCAAATACGATTTAATTCATTTCTTTGTTCCCCCCCTCACCAAACAGCCAAGAACACGATTGTCCAGGGCCTAGAGAACGTCGAGGTCGTGGAAGGAGGTGAAGCCCTGTTCGAATGTTACCTTTCCAAGCCAGAGTGCTACAATTATAATTGGCTGATTGACGACGAACCGGCGAAAACTTCTGAAAATGTCGAGATGGTCTACTTTGAAAACGGACTGCGGCATCTCCTCCTCTTGAAGAACCTGACGCCCCAAGACAGCTGCAGGGTGACTTTCCTTACGAGTGATGTCGTGACATCTGCGTTCTTGACTGTAAAAGGTAATGACGACCTTGTATGGCCTCGCAGTCCCACTGAACATAGGGTTTCCGGGTTGTGCCTGGCAACCGGGGGGAGGGTTGGGAGTGGAGGCATGGGGGCGGGGGGGAGGGGCGATGTTGGCCTGTGCCACTGTGTCACTTCCAGGGATACCCCTAATTTGCATCTCCATGCAAAGGGAACAAGTTGTGGGATAGGCCTCTTCAACTTTCCAGTCAGCCAGTGTTACGGCAGTCTTCAGTGGGACGTTAATTCACGGCCTTCCTCAGGGGTCATTTCCTGCCGGAGCGCACAGAAGCGGAGCTCCGGCAGTAAAGAGCCCAGGGGGCAGGCACATGCAACAAGCCCCGCCCCCTGCTCCCAGCAGCCCTCAGTCAGAGCAAGAAGCAGCCAGGTAAGTTGCAGAGCCCCCGTCCCGGCCGAAAACAGTCCAGTGGCACCTTTAAGACCAAGTTTTATTCAGGTACAAGCTCTCCCTCCTCTGCGAGGACAGATCTGCACGTTCCTCCCCCCCCCAATAGCTAGCAATCCAAAACAGTCCAGTGGAGCCTGAGCAGTGGGTGTTGCCTTCTGACACACTTCCGGTGATGTCAGGGTGTGTGGCATATGCAAATGAGTTATGCTAATGAGTTATGCTAATGAGTCCCTGCACCTCTTTTTCTACGAAACGACCCCTGGCTTTCCTTATTTTGAAGGTGCCGATCACTTAACCTTGTTATAATTTCAGGATGGCGCCTGGAGTTTCTGCAGCCATTGACTGATATTATGGTCACTGCTGGAGGCCGAGCCATCTTCAGCTGCGTCTTAAGCGAAGCGGTGCCCGTTAACGAGGTTGCTTGGTATATTAATGATGTGGATATCCAGCCGGATGGCAACTGGGAAATCCAGGCTGATGGGAACAGCTACAAACTCATACTGAGGAACGCTCAGCCGCGTCACTCTGGGGAGGTGACGTTTGCCGCGAGGGACGCCATTGTGTCTGCCAAGTTGTCTGTCATTGGTAGGTTGGGGTGGGCCACATTCTGGACGACCGGTGCTCCAACGGAGCCAGCATCCTGCTCCATTCCAGTTGTCTCCATTCATTCCAATTGTCTCCTCTCTCTGCTGTACTGATCACCCAGGGGATTCAGTTCTAGGGAGGAGAGAGAAACAAGCCATGTTGGTTACGAATATCTGTGCCTCAGCCTAAGTTAGGAGTCCCCAGCTTTCTTGAGCCAGTTTGGTATAGTGGTTAAGTGTGCGGACTCTAATCTGGGAGAACCAGGTTTGATTCCCCACTCCTCCACTTGCAGCTGCTGGATGACTTTGGTCCCAAATATACAAATCCCACTAGTAGAAAACACCATCAAAGATTGCCAAACAATATATTAAACAATTATAAAGTTGGTGGTGTCACAACAACATTACTGCATACTGTAACTTCGCGACCCCATGAACCACATCACACCACGCCCTCCTGTCTTCAGTCGTGCTCCGGAGTTTGCTTAATTTCAATAATAAGACATAAGATGCAATATTTCCTCCTTCGAAGATAAGACATAAAGTCCATGTAGTCAGTTTAACTTCATAGGAGGAGTCCACATGGTCATAACATTGCCCAAACAGCCTTTGCAAAGATGCCCATTTAGGGTTGCCAAATGATTCTTACCTGGCGGCGGGGGGCTCCTGCCCGGTGTCTGGAGGGTGCATGTGCGCGCAAAGCGCATGCCGCCCAGATGTGACGTGCAGACGCCAGGCACGCTGGGGGCGGGGCCACAGCCATTTGAGGGGAAAACTCTATGAATCTGTCTAATCCACATTTAAAGCCATCTGTGCCTGTGGCCATCACTCCATCCCCTGGCAGCAAATTCCACATTTTAATCACTTGTATAAAAAATATTTCCTTTTGTCCATCCTGAATTTACTGCCCTATTTGCATGAGGTGCGTGGATCCAGTGTTTTCATAACTGCTGCCGACATTCATAACCAGTATAAATGTTGATATTTCTCATTCAGGGCTCTTTTTGTAGCAGGAAATCTCTCAGTGTTTTTGTCTTTGTTGATAATTGGCCTGCTTGATGGTTATTTTGCTTGCTGGAGCTGCAAAATTCAGTTTGTATGAGACACATCCATTGGTTTTGTTGCATCCAATTCTAGAGTCTTCAACTGGAGTCACTCAGCCTTTGTTTGACAAGTCCGTTGCGGAGGGGCAGAAGGCACGCTTGGAGTGCGAGTTGTCCAAAGAATCCCAGGACATTGTCTGGTTCAAAGGAAAAGAACCAGTCCAGCCTGGAGGAAGATATGAGCTTATCTCTGAAGGCAAGAAACAGACGCTCGTCATTCATGACTTTAAAACGGAAGATCAAGGATCTTACACCTGCATGGCCTCTCCTGATATAAAAACTTCGGCCAAAGTTTCTGTCGAAGGTACCTCATTTTACTATTTCAGCTATTTAAACGTTTGCATTTCTGTTTCACAGTCTTCACTGTCTTAGTGAGTCCATGCTTAAGGAAACAGTTGCGTTTCCAGTATAAACTCAGATTTGTAGTCTATAAATACGTCTACGGGCTTTTCACATTCTTCTTTTCCTTGCTTGTAAGTTCCTATTTCTTTGGTCCCCCCCCCCCTTTTGCATGTGTTTTCCTGCCTCTAGTGGTCAGTTCTATATTACATCAGTTTATGTCCGGCATAAAAACCTGCACTTAAAATCTGCAGGGAGATAATGCTTGACATAATCCAGTGTAATATTGAATCAACCACTAGAGGGAGCAAGCCAGATGTGGAACAGAAGAACCTCCCCAAGAAATAGGAATTTACAAGTGATGGAAATGAGAATGGTGCCTGGTGCCTACTACTGACTCTGATTCAGTAAAAACTAGTTTAATAAGTTCACATTTTTTGCATTGTGCTCTGGATTGGTTGCACGCTCAGACCACAAAACTTTGGAAGATTTCAGTGTTTCCATAGAGCTTCCGCATGAATAAGGATGTTTCTGTTCACTTCAATACTGAAACAGCTCTGTGCGCACAATGGGCATGAGCAGGGGTCATTTCCTGCAGGAGCGCACAGGAGCGGAGCTCCGGCAGTAAAGTGCCCAGGGGGCGGGCACATGCAACAAGCCCCACCCCCTGCTCCCAGCAGCCCTCAGTCAGAGCAAGAAGCAGCCAGGTAACTTGCAGGGCCCCCCTGGTCCAAAACAATCCAGTGGCACCTCTAAGACCAAGTTTTATTCAGGTACAAGCTCTCCCTCCTCTGTGAGGGCAGATCTGCATGTCCCCCCCCCCGATAGCTAGCAATCCAAAACAGTCCAGTGGAGCCTGAGCGGTGGGTGTTGCCTTCGGACACACTTCCGGTGATGTCAGGGTGTGTGGCATATGCAAATGAGTTATGCAGATGAGTTATGCAGATGAGCTCCTGCACCTCTTTTTCTATGAAATGACCCCTGGGAATGAGCTATCCCAGACACTGAAGCACATGGAGATAATCCTTCAAAGACGAAGCCCCACATGTTTCTTGAAGCTTTCATATGTTTCGTAAGTGCCATCATGTTGCAACTGACTTACAGTGACTCCAGCAAGGGGCTTCCAAGGCAAGTGAGAAGCAGAGGTGGTTGGCCATGGCCTTCCTGGGTGGTCTCCCATCCAAGACTTATGGTGACTCCAGCAAGGGGCTTCCAAGGCAAGTGAGAAGCAGAGGTGGTTGGCCATGGCCTTCCTGGGTGGTCTCCCATCCAAGACTTATGGTGACTCCAGCAAGGGGCTTCCAAGGCAAGTGAGAAGCAGGGGTGGTTGGCCATTGCCTCCCTGCAGTTTTCCTTGGTCTCCTTTCCAAGCACTGACCCTGCTTAGCTTCTGAGATCTGGTGAGTTTGGGCTATAGTATGCTGCCCTCCCTTAAAACTCTTGTAGATGCACAGAAATGTTGACATTTAACTGACCTCTGCCATCTCTGCAGACATTTCATTCTGCTTGTCTAAATATAGCACAAGAGCCACGGTGGCTCAGAGGTTAAGACGCTGAGCTGCAGACCGGAAAGTCTGTAGTTCGACAGTTTGAGACCCGAGTGCCGCATGACGGAGTGAGCTCCCATCTCTGGTCCCACCTCCTGCCAACCTAGCAGTTCGAAATCAAGAACTTGCAAGTAGATAAATAGGCACCGCTTCGGTGGGAAGGTAACAGCATTCCGTGTGCCTCGGCGTTTAGTCATGCTGGCCACATGACCACGGAAATGTCTTTGGACAGCGCTGGCTCTTCAGCTTGGAAACAGAGATGAGCACCGCCCCCTAGAGTCGGATTTGACTAGCTTTCGAGCAAGGGAAACCTTTACCTTAAATATAACACACTGCTGACTCTGTTTACAACATAGTGCAGACACCAGTATTGCAACTATTTATTAATTTATTTAGGGAACTTATATGCGGCTTCTTCGGAGACATGCTGTGCCGGAAGTTTCACAGGTTACTGGAGCTTCTCAGAACTTTGGCTGACAGTTGTAGCGTGCACCCAATCCACAGCGCAATGCAAATACTTTGAGAGCTGCCTTATTTCACATCAGGCCATTAGCCCGACTGGCTCAGTGTCGTCTGAGTGGAAGAAGTTCTCTGGAACCTCAAGCACAGGAAACTCCTCCCTAACACCTGCAACCTGATATTCCTTAACCGATGATGCCGGAGACTGAACCCAGTTTTTCCTGCATGCAAAACATATGCTCTGCTTTGGAGCTATACCCCTCCTTTGTTGGAATAAAGGTTATTAGCTTTTAAGGAGCTCTTGGGAATGTGAAATTTTGTTGGGTAAAAGCAGGCTGCTGGCCCTCGAGGTGTTGTGGAGGTGGCTGAAAAAGGTACATACCATTTCTATTGAAATGTCGAAGGATAGGCTGTGTACCTAATCTGGGAGAATCTTGTGCTTAATCTGGGAGAACCGGGTTTGATTCCTCACACCTCCACATGCAGCTGCTGGTGTGACCTTGGGTCAGTCACAGGGTCTTTCAGAGCTGTTCTCTCACGAGACGTTCTCGAAAGAGCTCTCTCAGCCCCACCTACCTCACAGGGTGTCTGTTTTGGGGAGGGGAAAGGAGATTGTAAATGACTCTGAGACCGATTCCACACAAGAACTGCGCCGTGGTCGCCTCTCTTTGCCCCGCTTCTATTGGTCAATTTCCCACTCGAACCCGTGTGGCCGCATTCTGACCCGTGGCTTTGTGATCCTCAGAAAACAGGATCACAAAACCGCGGGGAAAATCGGGCGAAGCCACGGGTCAAAATGCGGCCGCGCGGCTTTGAGTGGGAAATTGACCAATAGAAGCGGGGCAAAGGGAGGCGCGACCGTGGCGCAGCTCCTGTGTGAAATCGGTCTGAGACTCCTTCGGGTAGTGAAGGGCGAGGTATAAATCCAATCTCCTCCTCCTCCTCTTCCCTTATATCCATGTTCCTTTGTTCCCCTTCATATATCAGTTCCGACCTTCCAACACAGCACTTCTAATTTTGGAAAAACTCAAATCCCTGAGCGCAGAATAAATCCACTACGTTTATCCAATTAATAAATCAAATCTGCTTACACTGTATGGAATAAGAATGGTGGCACACCATTTGTAGTTGACTTTTGTTGTCTGTGGCACCTAGTCTCTTGATGACTTCTTTATCTATAGGCAGGAATGGTGTTCAAAAGAACAAATCGCCACTTGGTTTGCTCCTGGTGTTGTAGGCAATGCTCCCCCTAAGCTGTAGTGTCTTGTGAGCAAAAATTCTACTTTGTGAGCTACGGACATTAAAGTTGTGAGCGAGCGATTTGGCTGCTGCATAAATCAGTTTGCTCTGGAGCCCTCCTTCCTGAGCCGAGACAAAAATCTGTGAGCTGGAGGCTAAAAAACTGTGAGCTAGCTCACGCTAACTCAGCTTAGAGGGAACACTGCTTCTTAGGAAAAATTCTACTTTGTGAGCTACTGGCATTAAAGTTGTGAGCAAGCCATTTGGCTGCTGCATCAATTAGTTTGCTCTGGAGCCATCCTTCCTGAGCAAAGACAAAAATCTGTGAGCTGGAGGCTAAAAAACTGTGAGCTAGCTCACGCTAACTCAGCTTAGAGGGAAATCCCTGAGCGCAGAATAAATCCACTACGTTTATCCAAGTAATAAATTAAATCTGCTTACACTGTATAGAATAAGAATGGTGGCACACTCGGTTTGCTTCTGGTGTTGAAGCTGTAGGCATGTGTTGTCCTTCAAAATATAATTTTCATAAATCCACCACTGTTGTTATGCCATTTTATAGTTATTAAGGGCATAGGGGGAGGGGCCATGGCTCAGAGGGAGGGGCTGTGGGTCAGTGGCAGAGCACCTGCTTGGCGTGCAGAAGGTCCCAAGTTCAGTCCCTGAGATCTCCAGCTGAAAGGACAAGGCGGTAGGCGATGGGAAAGACCTCTGCCTGAGACCCTGGAGAGCAGCTGCCAATCTGAGTGGACAATACTGACTCTGATAGACCGAGGATCTGATCATGCAGGGCTCTTTTTGTAGCAGGAGCTCCTTTGCATATTAGGCCACACACCCCTAATGTATCCAATCCTCCAAGAGCTTACAGAGCTCTTCTTACAGGGGCCACTGTAAGCTCTTGGAGGATTGGCTACATTAGGGGTGTGTCGCCCAGGGCTCTTTTTGTAGCAGAAACTCCTTTGCATATTAGGCGACACGCCCCTGATGTAGCTTACAGAGCTCTTCTTACAGGGGCTACTGTAAGCTCTTGGAGGATTGGCTACATTAGGGGTGTGTCGCTTAATATGCAAATGAGTTCCTGCTATAAAAGGAGCCCTGGTCTGATGCAGTATAATGCAGCTTCATGTGTTTATAAGGCTCCCTCATGTAAGAAAGTCCTAGTACTCTACCATCATAATAGAACCCTTCCATCCAATTCCCATTTGTTTCCACAGCGTCAAAGTTAAAACAGGCCATTGAGGAAACTCCCATTGCTAAGGAGCTGGGCGAGATGGTAGACGGGCAGCTGCAACCCAGTTTGCCACCCGAAGCTGCTCAGGAGGGCGACCTTCACCTCCTGTGGGAAGCTGCCACTAAGAAGCGTCGGATGAGTAGGGAGCCGACCCTCGACTCCATCAGCGAACTGCCAGAAGAAGACGACAAACTTCAGAAACGGAAGAAGGAAGAGGCTGAGAGAGCCCCCTACTCAGAGGAATACTCCACTTGTGACGAGTCGACGAGAGCAGGAGAAGCAGACTTCTCTTTCACCAGTTCGGACGACGAGTCGAGAGCTGGGACTCCTTCCCTCACTAGCTACCTCAAACAGGCTGGCTCGGTCAGTGTTGCCGGCAAAGTCCAGACGGTCTCTTCGGGGAAAGTGTGGGAGAAGACAAGCATCAAAACGACCGAGCGAGCCCCTGCCGCCAAGCCAGCCGAGCCAGAAGTCCTAGAAGGAGACTTGGATGACCCTTCCATGGCCCAAGCGGCCGTCAAGATTCAGGCCGCTTTCAAAGGCTACAAAGTGCGGAAGGAGATCAAGCAGCAGAAGGAATGCCCTGTCTTTGCCGAGACCTTCAAGGACTTTTCGGGCGAGCCAGGAGGCAACCTTCATCTGGAATGCGTGGCCCAGAGCAAAACAGATATGGTGGTCTGCTGGCTGAAAGACGGCGACGAAATCCTAGACGGGCGCCATTATCATATAGACAATTACAGCGACGGGACCTGCTCCCTGATTATCACCGGCCTGGAGTTGAACGACGTCGGCAAGTACACATGTGAGGCGTCGAATAAATTCGGCAAGGTCTCCCACAGCGCCAAGGTCGTGGTGAGCGCCCCGCCTCCAGCACCCCAACGCAAGCACAAACCGACCAGGAAGCCTGCCGAGAGCGAAACGGAGAGCTCCTCCGGCAGCGAGTTGGACGACGCCTTCCGAAAAGCAGGGAGGAGGCTTCACAAGCTGTTCAAGTCCAAGATCTCCACCGAGATTTCGGACGTGGAGGAGGAGCTCTTTGTCAGCGCTGACGAGGGAGAGATAGAGGCTGTGGACCACCAGACCTATCGTGAAGATGAGAGATACATCTATATCAAGTTCGAAGTCATGGCGGAGGCCAAGACAGCAGCCAGCCGGTTTAGGGAAATGTTCGCCGCTATGGGTATCGCGGTCGAGATCGATATCCTGGATCAAGGCAGTAAAAAGATTGAGTTGCGCATAGGGAAAGCTACTCCACCTGCTCCGGGGCAGCTACGGACTTTGGTGAAACGGCCACCACCTCCTCTGCTAACGTCTGACACTGGTAAGTCATGCATGCAAATGTTTTAATGGAGGAGGTGGAGGCCAGGGCTTGAAGAGACGTACTCAGTTGCTGACCAAGCCCAATATCTGCTTAGCTGGAAAGCTGGAATTATATCAGTTCTTACTCTGCGCTCTGCTTGGCTGCACAGAATATTAATAATAGCTCACAGTTCCTCAGGACCTAACTAAAGTGATACTTCTGAATATGGACTTTGCCCTAGTGCTTGCCAAGGGACCAGAGGGAGGGTTGGGGGGCGGAGACATGAGGGGACATGCTGGCATCATTATGTCACTTCCAAGTTCAACTTGGAAGTGACAATGGGTAGCTCTAGGAAATGCCAGAAACTCTATGGTAAAACCATAGATTTGCCATAGATTCCTAGAGCTACCTGTTGTCACTTCCAGGTATGCAGAAGTGACGTACCCACAAAGAGGCCAGCAGAATTTTTGTGTTCCACTGTTGCTCAGGGTGGCAGCAGGCAAAGCAGCTGAGGGCCCAGCAGCCCAAATTTATGCTCATATCATGTCATTAGCGCAGGAGAAGGGATTAAACGGCACTTTATTTTTATCGCCATGGAATGAATGTTTTATTTATTTATTTATTTTTTACATTTGTATCCCGCCTTTCCCAGTGGGCTCAGGGCGGCTAACAAGGGCAGGGTATTAACCGTGTCATAGTTAAAACATAAAACATATTAAAACATCAACACTAAAACAGTGGTGCTCAATCAGTTACTGATCTTATGATGATGGTAGAATAGTGGGGCGGCGGCTCCTATGCAAAGGCCTGGCAGAAGAGCTCTGTCTTACAGGCCCTGCGGACCTGCATAAGGTCCCGCAGGGCCCCAATCTCCCCCGGGAGCTCATTCCACCAGGTAGGAGCCGCCCCCGAAAAAGCCCTGGCCCTGGTCGCAGCCAGTTTGGCATCTTTAGGGCCCGGGATGACCAACAGATTTTGGGCCCCTGACCGTAGTGCTCTTGGGGGAACATGTGAGGAAAGGCGGTCCCTCAGGTAGGTTGGACCCTGGCCATATAGGGCTTTATAGGTAAGAACCAGCACTTTGAAGCGGATCCGGTATGCTATTGGCAGCCAGTGCAGCGCTTTCAGCACAGGCTGGATGTGGTCCCTCCCTCCTAGAGAGACCCATCAACAGCCTGGCTGCAGCATTCTGCACCAGCTGCGGCCTCCGGATTTGCGACAAAGGCAGCCCCATGACTTGTTTACTTGTATATTGACTTGTTTATGTTTTTAAATGATGTATTTTATTCTATTACTGTGAAATGTGTATTGCTTACCAGTTTTTGGAAGCCGCCCTGAGCCCACCTGGCGGGGAGGGCGGGGTAAAAGTGAAATAAATAAATAATAATAATAATCTTTCAATTTATTGATCGCTCAATCCTTGCAGAGCTACCGGCTCTGAGCGATTTACAGTTACTCATGTGTTGACATAGGACTAACAATGATAGGGGTAGGGGAGGACAACATATATCATTTTTTAAAATCACACACACTTCGCCGTCGACAGGGAGTTTGGTCAGCTGTAAGCATCAGACGTGTTCCGGCAGCATTCTTTGGTCGGCGTTGCTTGATGTCGTCAGCATTTTTGTCAGTCGCAGCGGACCTTCCGTTTGTCGGCTAACACCTTCCCCACCAGGGGGGTTAAGTGTGCCCACCCTCTCTAAGGAGTGGTACCCCTTTTACCTACTCGCCGAAGCTTTTGAACCGCTGGGTGGACGGCGAGCTGGGGACACGGCTGGTAGCTCACACCAGCGCGGGGCTCAAACTGACAGCAGTCCTGTTCAGCTCAGATGTTTAACCAGAGGATAAATCCCCTGTGCCACCGCTCCCCTTCCTGTGATCTTGTCCAAGTAAAAATAAGCATTCCTCCCTTTATTCACCACTCGATTGTTTCCCAGTTAGGTGACCAGCGCTACCATGAAGCTACAACTTATGAGCATACTCTGTGGATCTGTGCCATTCTGGTTTGTTCTTCCGCAGCCCATCATGTCATGAGTTCTGTGGCTCATTCACACTTAGCAAGTACTGTGCAGCCCTCTGTACACTACCATTAGCACTCGGGCCGGCCTTGCGCTTTCTTTTGGTCTCTTTCACTTTGACACACACCAATTTGACATTCCTGCCTTGTGCAGGGGGTTGAACTAGATGACCCTGGAGGTCCCTTCCAACTCTATGATTCTGTGGATTAATCAGGAAGTCAAGGCAGTGATTTTTCAGTATCTAGTAAGTCTGAGCTAAAATGGTCCAGAGCTGGCATGATTCCAAGTAGGGTTGCCAAATCCGTCTTCACTGGGAGTGGGGGGCTCCCAGCCGGCGTCGGGGTTCTGCGCGTGTGCACGTCACCCGGAAGTGACGTAGGCACGCTGGGCACGCTGGGGGCGGGGCCACGGCCATACAAGGGAAACCCATAGAGTT